CCTTCGGCTCAGGTCGTGGTCCTGGAGTCCCGGGATCGAGTCCCACATCAGGCTCCCTGCTCAGCGGGGGGTCTGCTTCTCCCTCTGACCCTCTTCCCTCTCGTGCTCTCTCTCATTCTCTCTCTCAAATAAATAAATAAAATCTTTGAAAAAAAATGACTTATACCCTAAAGTTTGTATTTTAGCTTAAACATAAGCATTCATTTATTTCATTTTTGTTATACAATCAAGGCTTTTTATTTAAATATGGGTTACTAATGGGAGATTTACATCTTCTCTATCATAAACCATACCTACAAAACATTGTATGTGATTTATGTTTTTTTATTATGTTATGTCACCATACAGTACATCATTAGTTTTTGATGTAGTGTTCCATGATTCATTGCGTAAAACACCCAGTGCAATGAGCACTGGGCATTTATTATCTTTTAATTGAAGTTTAATTAATATATAACATTATATTAGTTTCAGGTGTACAACATAGTCATTCAAAATTCCATGTTACTCAATACTCACCGAGGTAAATGTAGTCACTACCTGCCACCATACAACATTATTATAATATAATTGACTATATTCCCTATGCTGTACTTTTCATCTCTGGGACTTATTTATTTTATAACTGAAAGTTTGCACCTCTTAATCCCTCTTATCTATTTTACCCATTCCCCCACCCCACCCACCACACCTCTGACAACCACCTTTCTCTGTATTTAAGAATCTGGGGTTTTGGGCGCCTGGGCGGCTCAGTCGTTAAGCCTCTGCCTTTGGCTCAGGTCGTGATCCCAGGGTCCTGGGATCGAGCCCCGCATCGGGTTCCCTGCTCCTTGGGAGCCTGCTTCTCCCTCTCCCACTCCCCCTGCTTGTGTGCCTTTCTCGCTGTGTCTCTCTCAAATAAATAAACACTTATTTGGTCTGTGGATTAGAAATAAACATTTATTTGAGAGAGCACACAAGCAGGGGAAGGGTAGAGGGATAGAAACTCAAGCCGACTCCCGGCTGAGCAGGGAGCCCAATGCAGGGCTCAGTCTTACAACCCTCGGATCATGACCTAAGCCGAAATCAAGAGTAAGCTGCTCAGCTGTCTGGGCCAACCAGGCGCCCCTACAAAGAACTCTTAAAACTCAACATTAAGGAAACAAACAACTTGATTTAAAAATGGGCAAATATGGGCGAAAGACCTGAACAGACATCTCACCAAAGAAGATATGAGCATATGAAAAGATGCTCCACATGATATGTCATCAAGCAAGTGCAAATTAAAATGAGAAACCACTATGTACCTATTAGAATGATCAAAATCCAGATCATTAACACTAACTAACAACAGCAAATGCTGACAAGGATGTGGAGCAAGGGAACTCTCATTCATTGCTGGTGGGTATGCAAAATTGTACAGCTACCTTGTAAGAAAGTTTGGTGGCTTCTTACAAAACTAAACATATTCTTACATTGATCCAGCAATTACACTCCTTGGTATTTACCCAAAGGACTGGAAAGGACTTATGTCCACGCAAAGACCTGCACATGGATATTTATGGTATCTTTATTCATAATGGCCAAAATTTGGCAACAACCAAGCTGTCCTTCAGTGGGTGAATGGATAAATAAACTGTGGGACATCCAGACAATGCAATATTATTCAGCACTAAATAGAAATGAACTATCAAGCCACAAAAAGACATGGAGGAACTTTAAAAGCATGTCACTAAGTGAAAAAAAGTCAATCTGAAAAGAGCTACATAATGTGATTCCAACTTCCCCCAAAAAGGATGCAGTGGCCTCAGTGGTGTATATAATGGTCACCCTCATGCTGAACCCTTTTATCTACAATCAGAGGAACAGGATCATCAAGAGGGTGCTGTGGAGATTCCTTAGCAGAACAGCCTAATTGCAATACCTGGGACATTTCTTTTTTTCTTTTTTTTTTTTGGTCTGTGGATTAGAAATTATTGCAAAACAAGGAGTGCCTGGGTCACTCAGTCGGTTAAGTGGCCAACTCTTGATTTTGGCTCAGGTCATGATCTCAGGGTCGTGGGATCCAGCACTGTGTTGGGCTCCGCGATCAGTGGGGAGTCTGCTTGAAGATTCCTTCTGCCCCTCCCCTAACTCCTGTGTGCTCTCTCTAAAATAAATAAATAAAATCTTTTAAAATCTTTTATTTATTTATTTGACAGAGAGAGAGACACAGCGAGAGAGAAAGCGCAAGCAGGGGGAGTGGGAGAGGGAGAAGCAGGCTCCCCGCAGAGCAGGGAGCCCGATGCGGGACTCGATCCCAGGATCCTGGGATCATGACCTGAGCCGAAGGCAGACGCTTAACGACTGAGCCACCCAGGCGCCCCAATAAAATCTTTTTAAAAATTTATTAATTTTGGAACCTGAAATCAGGTGACCGATGTCTAGCAGTTCTTTTTTTTAACTTGTTTTGTTGGTATGGTAACATATATGTATGTATGTATGTATATGCTATATATAACATAAAAGTTACCATTTTTAGTCCACAGCTCAGTGGCATTAAGTATATTCACACTGTTGTGCAGCCACACCCACCATCCGTCTCCAGAACTTTCTCATCTTTCCAAACTGAGACTCTATCCCCATGAGGCACTGACCGCCCGCCCCCTCCCCCTGCCTCACCCCTGGCTCCCACCATCTACTCTCTGTCTCTGTGAATTTGACTCCCCTAGGAACTTCCTATAAGCGGAGTGATATAATACCTGTCTTTTCGGGAGTGCCCTATTTCACCTAACACAATGTCTTCAACGTTCATCTATGTTGTAGTGTGTGTCAGAATTTCCTTCCTTTTTTAGGCTGAATAATATTCCTTGTGTGTATACACCACATTTTGCTTATCTATTAATCTGTCAATAGATACTTGGGTTGCTTCCACCTTTTGGCTATGTGAATAAACTGCTGTGAACATGGGTGTATAACAGAAGTTTTAAAGCCTTTTTTTCCCGGATCTGATTTGGTCAGCTACATGTGTGGCTTGGAATCTTACACACAAAATAAAGAGGAAGATTTTTAGATGGATGATAAAACAAGATTTTTTTCAGTTATCAAAATTTTGTCAGGAAACTATCAGGAAAAGACTAAAAAGGATATTTTTACCATGAAAATTTCAACTAAGCCACTGAACAATTGCCCACAGTCTGAAGAATATCAGAGAACATTTGATTCAAAATTTGAAAAAATGCAAACACTTCTCTTTAACTGAGTCTTGCGGTGTAAGAGACACTGTCCAATTAATGCTTGGATACACCTTGTCTCAAAGAATTTCTAAATTTATTAAGAAATGTGTTCCATTCATAGCCTAAAAATATGAATTCATGTCATAGGTTTTTTGAATCTTGCTATAGTGGCGTTTTGCTCTCTAAGACTATTTACTAAAAGGGATGAAGAAATTTCCTATATAATATTTAGAGTCTTGTGGTTATGGTTCCAATGGCTGTTAGATTACACCACTGAGATTATAAATGCTCATTAAGTTACATATATGTGGTAGAAAGCTATTTATACTTGTTGACAGGAAATTGCTTCTACTTACTAAAGTGGTGTTAATAACACATCCGACTTTGATTTCACTACTCCAGTTTTTACTCAAGAAATTAAAAATGATACATTTCACTTACAATTAAGAGTAAATATTTATAAGATAAATTATTTATTCATTTAAAAAAAATGTTTAAGTGGGTTCCATGCCCAGTGCAGGGCTTGAACTCACAACCCTGAGACCAGACCTGAGCTGAGATCGAGTCAGACACTTAATCGACTGAGCCACCCAGGTGCCCTTGATTTATTCACTTAAAAACATGTGGCAGAACTTGTTTTTATGGTAAATCATGGAATATCAGTTTAATTTTCTACAATCAACTGGAGTGTCTTCTTTGTCATTTAAACATTTTCTCACATCCAAAATGAAAAAAAAACACATGGTATTACCCTCCCTCTATAGAGAGCATTCTTGACAGAGGAAGAGGTCACTTTCCTGCACTCAAGAGGTCAATTTTCTCACTGCCAAGTCACCCCCAAGTCCAGTACAAGTAGACTCCTCCCCACCCCTCCACCAAATTGCTCTTTCTCTTATTTTCCATGCCATGTCAGTAACTCCAAGGGATATTGTTCAGCCTTTATTACTTGGCCTAGTATCATCATTTTACATGGTTGACCCTCCCTCTCCTGAAATGGGACTTTGTTTATCTACACAACACGTTCAACACCATGTAGCCTATGCAGTCACAAAAGGGTCACGAGGGATTCACTGAGACAGGTGAGCTTTCTTTCTTTTGTGTTACTTTGAGACAGATCCTAAAGTACTGTGGCTACAGGGAGATGGGTCTTTGCAGCAACAATGCATCCCTGAGGGGGAACCTCTTTCCCTCCAAGCCAAATCCATAGTGATGAAGCTCTTCCAAGAAGGAAGAAGCCCATGGGGGCAGAGAGATCCATCTGGCTCCCAAGCTGCCTTCCTGGAAGCAGAATTAGCACACACGGTTCCATTCTGCCATTTTCTCATTACCCCAAAGGAGCTGAATGACCTGAAGAGTAGAAGATCAGAGGAACAATTTATTTAATGAGAAGCATGAGAAATCATCCCCTCAGGGACTGGAGAAACCATAAATACTTCCCTAGCATCCTCACCCATAGTTCAGTGACACCTGACTAGGAGAACACACCTGGGCCTCTCAGGGACATGACCTGGGGACAGGTTCTGTCTCCCTGCCATTCTCTGGTATAGAGTCTGTCATCAGCATCCAACAGAGGAGAAAGAGGTTACACAAACATTTCTTTATGCAATGGCAGCCAACTGAGTCACACCGTCCTAGTGAGTACTGGGTATGAAAAGGAGGACTAAAAATCGGTTGGGGGAAGGAGGTTATAGGATTGATAATGACTCATGACCCCCCCTTTTTTTTTTTTTTAGCTTCTGGAATTTATTTCCCTGGTTATGTCTTTTTGGATTCCATTGCTACTATTTTCTGTCACCCCCAGCTCTAATGGGCCCTCGTTCTGGAAACTAGTGACTTCCACAGTGTCACTGTTGGTACTCCCTCAAGCCGACTTTTCTAACCCACCTGCTCACAACTTCCTTGTGCGTCTCTGGTGTAGTAGTTCTCAACTAGTCATTCCTGGAGCAGCCACCACCGTATCTCCTGGGAGCTTGTTAGAAAAATATAGTCTCAGTCCCTGCCCAAGACCTGCTGACAGAAACCCGGGGGGAGACTCAGCAATCGGTTTTAGCAAGTCCTCCAGGTGATTCTAATGCATGCAATAATTGAAGAATCTGTCCAGCAGGATATCTCCTTCTTCACCCCACCGCCATCATGACTTGGTTTCTACTGGGTTGTATATACTCTGTGATTCACAAAATATGTACTGAATGCCCACTCCATGCCAGGTGTTATCTATGTCATCACTGCAATTGTGAATAGACCTCTCTTATCTTTCCTAATGATTGTTTACAGATCCATAAGAAGCTAATGACACTGATTCGTTCTAACTGCAGCAGGCAATCACATCAGCAGCTGATAGCGACCAGATTTGCTTTTGATTTCCTAATATTGTATCTCATTCACTTTTCTGTCTTATGCCATTTCTTTTTAATTATTGGAAACAATGTTAAATAATTATAATAGCAGGCATCATTACCTCTTTCTGCTTTTTGTCTGCTTGTTTTGTTTTTTAGGGTTTAATAATGGGTCTTGGATTAACCCTTGCTTTAACATAGCTATTCTTTTTTTTTTTTTTTAAAGATTTTATTATTTATTTATTTATTTGAGACAGAGAGAATGAGAGACAGCATGAAAGGGAGGAGGGTCAGAGGGAGAAGCAGACCCCCCGCTGAGCAGGGAGCCCGATGTGGGACTCGATCCAGGGACTCCAGGATCATGACCTGAGCCGAAGGCAGTCGCTTAACCAACTGAGCCACCCAGGCGCCCAACATAGCTATTCTTTATCACCTTTTGGCAGTATCCTTCGATTCCATGTGACTAAAATTTTACTCTGTTCCCTTCCCATCAGTAACTTAGATTTTATTAAATGTATTTTGATTTGTTTGGAAGCTGTGTTATTTTCTGCATCAATTGATTCATGCTTCATTTTACTCCTTGTTCAGTTTGTTGCTTCCATAGTCAGAGATCAACCTGTAGATTTCTGGTTTGTAATATATGGGATCATTTTTGGTTTCAGTCTTTATTCCACTTTCCATGCTCTTCGAGTACAAAGCATGGGAGATATGAGGAAAAGTAAATTTTGTAACTTGTGATCTGAACTTGTGTGGTTTATGATTCAGTGGTAAGAGGGACAGATATTAATCAGATAATTCCATAAGTAAATGTGAATATAGTTATGATTTGTGCAGTGAAGAAAAATGCAGGAGACTATAAAGGCATGGATTAGAGGACTACACTTGGTGGGCAGGGAGGGCTCAGGAAAGGCTCCCCTGAAGAAGTGATGTTTCATCTGAGAAACAAGGACAGGAATGATCACGGAGAAGACAAAGGCATGCAAGAGCCCCATCAGGGAGGGCAGTACTTCACAGGCATGGCTGGGGGAAGAATCACAGCATTTTTAGAATTCCTACAAAGGCCAAAGTGTTGGTGCTTCGAAAGGCTGGTGTAGGGGCGACTGGATGGCTCAGTCATTAAGCGTCTGCCTTCAACTCAGGTCATGATCCCAGGGTCCTGGGATCGAGCCCCACATTGGGCTCCCTGCTCAGCAGGAAGCCTGCTTCTCCCTCTCCTACTCCCCTTGCTTGTGTTCCCTCTCTTGCTGTGTCTCTCTCTGTCAAATAAATAAAATCTTAAAAAAAAAAAAAAGAATAGAAAGGCTGGTGTAGTCCGTAATAAGACTGGGAAGTCAGAAGGAACCAGCATATGCAGGCAAGCATGGAAAGGATGTTAAAAGAAAGAAAAACCTCAGACCAATCTCCCTTGTGGACACTGAGGCGGATATCCTCAGATGAAAACCCCTTCCAGAGATTTGTGTTTGCTTCTGCCTGACACCTAGAATACAATTCATCCAGGACCACTTTAGACTAATTCCTCTGGCTGAGTTTTCTAGGGGAGTGTGAATGTAGGCTCTAAATCTGTGAGTGGTCACCTCACCTGCAGTGTTCTTAGAAGTTTGACTCTTTCCTGACAACAATCTATCCATCCATGGATAGATTTTCTTCTTCTTTTTTTTTTTCGACTGGGCATTGTGTGAAAATGCTACTTTTTAACTTTTAATTTTGACCTCATTTCAGATTTACAGAAAAGTTGGAAGAACAATATAAATAGCTCCTATGTATATCCTTTACCAGATCCCCCAGATGTTAAATTTTACCATCTTTACTTTTTTCTTCATCCACTTTTCTCTCTTCCTTTTCTTCGTGTGTGTTTTCAGAACCATTTACAAGTAAGTTACACTGTAAATATGGTACCTCTTTACCTCTAACTCTTTGGTATCCCCTAAAAACAAGGACATTTTCCTCACATAACCACAGCACAAAGATCAAAATCAAGATAGTAACATTGATATAATACTACTATCAAAATTACAGAACTCATTCCTATTTTGACATTTATCCTAACAATGTCATCTATAGCAAAAGAAGATCCAGGATCATGCATTTCATTCAGTTGACATGTCTCTTAAGCTTCCTTTCATCTGGAACAGTTCCTAGACTCTCTTTGTATATGATGACATTGGCATTTTTGAAGGGCACAAGTCAGAAATTGTGTAGAATGTCCCTCATTTTGAGTTTGTCTGATGCTCCCTAGTCTTTAGATTGAAGTCCTGCATCTTTGGCAGGAATCTCACAGAAGTAACATTGGGTCCTTTCCAGTGCCTCCTACCAGGAGGTACATGATGTTGATGTGTCCCATTTTGAAGCTCCATGACCATCCAACAGGACTATTATAAAATGGATGCTTAAGATAGGTGATTAGGATAAAAACAGAGAGGGAGGGGCGCCTGGGTGGCTCAGTTGTTAAGCGACTGCTTTCAGCTCAGATCATGACCCCAGGGTCCTGGGTTCGAGCCCTATATCGTGCTCCCTGCTCTGCAGGAAGCCTGCTTCTCCCTCTTCCACTCCCCCTGCTTGTGTTCCCTCTCTCGCTGCCTCTCTCTCTGTCAAATAAATAAATAAAATCTTAAAAAAAAAAAAACAGAGAGGGAGACAAGTCTCTTAACTCTAGGAAACAAACTGAGGGTTGCTGGAAGGGAGGTGGGTCGGGGGATGGGGTAATTGAGGGATGGGCATTAAGGAGGAGACTTGATGTAATGAGCACTGGGTGTTACATGATGCAGATGAATCACTAAATTCTACCCCTGAAACTAATAATATAATATATGTTAACTAAATTGAACTTAAATTTAAAAAAATTTTTTAAAGATAGGTAATTAGGAATTCTAGACTCCATTCTGTAGGATTCCATTTTACTTCTGTTGTTATAAAATGGATTTTTTTTTCAGTTTTTGGAGGTTTTTTTGTTTTTATTTAAATTCCAGTTAGTTAACATACAGTGTAATATTAGTTTCAGCTGTATAATTTAGTGATTCAACACTTTCTTTTTTTTTTAGATTTTATTTATTTATTTGACAGAGAGAGAGAGCAAAAGCAGGGGGAGCAGCAGAGAGAGAGGGAGAAGCAGGGAGCCCGATGTGGGGCTCAATCCCAGGACTCTGGGAGCATGACCTGAGCCAAAGGCAGATGCTTAACTGACTGAGCCACCCAGGCACCCTGGTTTTCCTCTCTTTTTCCACTATGATTGTTTGTTTTGTTTCTTAAATTCCACAAATGAGTGAAATCATATGGTATTTGTCCTTCTCTGGCTGACTTATTTTGCCTAAGATGGGTGGTTGGCATAAAAGACTCCATTTTTTCAGATTTCACTTATAAGTGAAAGGAGACCCAACACTTAGACACAATGACTGACTTCACAAATAACTTGAGTGAAAAGCATGGTCAATATTTTTGTTACATGGAGTGTGCCAGTTTGCTGCTAATTCATGTTGCTCTTGTCTCTTCCTTCATAGATATATCAGGTACATGGAAGCAGGAAACCGAACAGAAGTTTTAGAGTTCATCCTCCTTGGGGTCTCTGAGGATCCAGAATTACAGCCCTTCATATTTGGGCTGTTCCTGTCCATGTTCCTGGTCACTGTGCTCGGGAACCTGCTCATCATCCTGGCCATCTGCTCTGACCCCCACCTCCACACCCCCATGTACTTCTTCCTCTCCAACCTGTCCTTGGTTGACATCTGTTTCAGCACCACCATAGTGCCCAAGATGCTGGTGAACATCCATACAGAGAACAAAGCCATCTCCTATATGGACTGCCTCACGCAGGTCTATTTTTCCATGTTTTTTCCTATCCTGGACACTCTACTCCTGACTATAATGGCCTATGACCGGTTTGTGGCCATCTGCCGCCCCCTGCACTACATGGTCATCATGAACCCACGCCTCTGTGGCCTGCTGGTTCTTGTGACCTGGTTCGTTGGTGTCATGACATCTCTTCTTCACATCTCTCTGATGATGCATCTGAGCTTCTGCCGAGATCTTGAAATTCCACATTTCTTCTGTGAACTGACACAGATTCTCAAGTTGGCCTGCTCTGATACCTTCCTGAACAGTGCATTGATATACTTTATGACTGGTGTGCTGGGTGTTTTTCCCCTTGTTGGGATCCTTTTCTCCTACTCACAGATTGCTTCATCGATAAGGAAGATGCCTTCACTGGGGGGAAAGCAAAAAGCATTTTCCACCTATGGGTCTCACCTCTCAGTGGTTTCTTTATTTTATGGAACAAGTGTTGGGGTCTACTTCACTTCTGCAGTAACTCACTCCCCCCAGAAAGTCTCAGTGGCTTCAGTAATGTATACTGTGGTCACCCCCATGCTGAACCCCTTCATCTACAGCCTGAGGAACAAGGATGTGAAGGGGGCTCTGGGAAGGCTTCTCAGTAGAGCAACCTCTCATCTGTGATGGATCTCTTGGCCCCAGGACTAAGAAGTTTTATGGATCCCAAAAGCAAAAATTTTGATTCTAAAGTTTACTCTTGAATCTTGTAAACCCTCTTTCACCTAATCCTGAAGGAGCTATGACTGCACTCCCCTAGTTTTTACACACTTTTAAACAACTAATTTCCACATAATTTATCTGATGATCTTTCTGCTTTATCTGTTGTCCAAAAAGTATGTCCTTGATCTTTCTTACTTCCTCACTGGTGAGTTCTAACTTGGATTTGGAGCATTTACTTTAGCCTTGTTATCTCAAATGTTGGTGGAGAATGCTTAAACTATTGATTGTTCACCTTAACTTATTTCTATGTGTTTTGTTGTAGGTTTGTGTTGTTCATGTGCATGTATTACCAACAGTGTTTTGGGGTTTTTTTACTGGATAAAATATGATTAAAATACATAATAAAATACAGTCAGTGTTTTAGTACTTATATGGTAAGCCTATGCTAACTTCTTTCTACTGTCTTATGTAATCTTCCTCAATGGGAAGGATTACTGTCTCCATTTTATTTTTTTTTTAAAGATTATATTTATTTATCTGACAGATAGAGAGACAGCGAGAGAGGGAACACAAGCAGGAGGAGTGGGAGAGGGAGAAGCAGGCTTCCCACTGAGCAGGGAGCCCGATACGGGGCTCGATCCCATGACCCTGGGATCATGACCTGAGCCGAAGGCAGACGCTTAATGACTGAGCCACCCAGGCGCCCCTATTGTCTCCATTTTAGAGGTAAGGAAATTGAGAATCTAAGAGCTTAAAAATCTTCCCCAAAGTTGCCGAGGGAACAAGTGGCAAAACCAGGATTCAAATCCAGAACTCTGACCCTGAGCCCATATTCTAATAACAAGCTGCCCAGATTTTCACACGGATTTCAATGTGTACAATTTGAATCGGGTATTTTATTGCTTGGTTGACAATATTTCTGGTTATCCTCTCCTATTGGATATCCAAAAGAATGGTATTTTCTTTCTCCCTTGAAGTTAAAGGTGGTAATATGTTTTGATGTGTCTGATAAAATATGAGTGGAAGTGATGGGTCCCTTCTAGACTAAAACAGTTGAAGAGCTGATACGTTATTCTTCATGTTCACTCTTGACTTGATACGGCTATTGAGGAATGAAGGCATCACAAGATCCAAAGAGTTTAGAAAGCTGACCACTATGTGGAGGACTGTCCTGGATGGTTGCCCAAGTTGGTAGATACTTTTCAAGAGAAAGAAATAAGATTTTTGTTTCATTAAATCAGTAATATTTCAGTTCTATTACGCACACTGATGCTGTTTTCAACAATAGAGTCTAACCTACTCTGACTGTTACATATCCCAAAGCTGGAAATCCAAATTTGAGAATTTTTCTACTCTGATGATTTTTGCTGTCATGCTAAGGGTAAGTCTGAGATCTCCTTTTTCATTCCTTTGTGATCCCTCCAGTCTTTTTTGAGAACTTTAATTCAATTTCACATTAATACTTATACACACATATATATACACATATACATACATGTTAATTTATACATGGCCTACATCCTTGAAAGAGGAGAATTAATTTATTATTGTACCAGAAATGCTCTCTCTCTCTTTTTTTTAGAGAGAGTGGGGGGAGGGACAGAGGGAGAGAGAAAGAGACAACCTCAAGCAGCCTCCATGCCTAGCACATTAGCCCAATGAGGGACTCGATCTCACAACCGAAAATCATGACCTGAGCTGAAATCAAGAGTCAGACACTTAACTGACTGAGCCACCCAGGCGCCCCCAGAAATGCTCTTTAAATAGAAGGTAAGTTCCTCTGAAGAAGTAATCCTTTCTACAGTAGCCTTGGAGTCCTGTATAACTTGATAAGACTGGCACTAACCACTTACAGGACTGTAGGAGGTATCACATTGTCTAACTGGACTGCTTAAGAATATTAGTCTAGTTCCCAAAATAGTAATTCAAATAGGGTTTTTTTGTTTTTGGTTTTTTTTAAGATTTTATTTATTTATTTGAGAGAGAAAGAATAGAGACAGAGAGCATGAGAGGGAGGAGGGTCAGAGGGAGAAGCAGACTCCCTGCTGAGCAGGGAGCTCGATGCGGGACTCGATCCCTGGACTCCAGGATCATGACCTGAGCCGAAGGCAGTCGCTTAACCAACTGAGCCACCCAGGCGCCCTCGAATAAAGTTTTTAACATACAAAATCTCATTCCTTTAGTGTCATAATTCACAATCTCCTTCCAGTATGATATGTGATTCTCTGATATGACACGATATAGATTGTGATTTTGTATCATATTGTTAATAGTTTTGTCTATGTGTTGTAACAAACAAATTTTTCAACAGTTCTTTCCTATAGTTCAAATTTATATTTTTATTTTTAAAATTTACTCTACCAATGATGTATTTCTGTTCAGTGGGATGTAGAAATCTACTCTTTCCAAATGAAAAACAACTTTGTTCTCACACTTTATACTAGTCCTTCCTTTCCCACTGACTTATAAAGGCACCTTTTAATTTTCAAATTCTCAAACCACATTTTCTACCTATTCTGAGGTCAGGCATCTGGTCCAATTCCAGCTCTGCCATTTGCAAGTTGGTCAGCTTCTCTCTACTTCTGTTACTCATCTCTGAAATAGAAACGATAGGGGCGCCTGGGTGGCTCAGTCTTTAAGCGTCTGCCTTCGGCTCAGATCATGATCCCGGGGTCCTGGGATCAAGTCGCACGTCGGGCTCTCTGCTCAGCGGGAAGCCTGCTTCTCCCTCTCCCACTCCCCCTGCTTGTGTTCCCTCTCTCACTGTGTCTCTCTCTGTCAAATAAATAAATAAAATCTTAAAAAAATAAAAATAAAAACGATAACACATGTCAGGGGGTGCTGTTCATATTAAATGAATAATGATAAAGACTATGGGGTTAACTATTGGTTTTGTTAGTAGGTTTTACCGACATCGTTATGTGTTTTTTTGTTTTGTTTTGTTTTTTTAAAGATTTTATTTATTCATTTGAGACACAGAGATACAGAGAGAGAGAGAGAGAGCATGAGCAGGGGGAGAGGGAGAAGCAGGCTCCCCACTGAGCCAGGAGCCCGATGGGGGCTCGATCCCAGGACCCTGGGATCATGACCTGAGCTGAAGGCAGACGCTTAACCATCTGAGCCACCCAGGCGCCCCCGGTTATGTGTTTTTATATTCATACTTGATAGGGCAAGTCTTTGACTTAGGGTACCATCAAACACTTAGCAGGCCTTTTACAATCGCTATTTAAGTATTTTGATTGGCAAAGAACATGTAGCTCAGACTCCAATGGGATATTTTTTAGAGGGAATCCTGAACTATGAGATCATACCTGGGGGGGGGGGGAGGAACTCCTACTGTGAGGAAAAACATGATTGCCTTCAAATTTCTCACATTGGAATAGAATTGTCAAGCACAGTTTCCATTTTATTATGTTTTTCTCTCTCCCAACTAGCTAACCTGTTTAGAAATAAAATAACAAGGGGCACCTGGCTGGCTCAGTCGGTGGAGCATGAGATTCTTGATCTCTGGGTTATAAGTTCAAGCCCCACACTGGGTGCGGAGATTGCTTAAAAATAAAATCTTTTTTAAAAAGTAAGTAAAAAAGGAACACTTATTTAATTAGGATCTTTGAGATTTCAACCTTGGATGTCCCTGAAAGGATAGATGCTTCTTGTCTGCCCCTTTGCTCCCAGCTCACTGACCAGGACAATAAGGATAATATCGTTGTCCTGCTGACCCCAGGGCTGCTTGGATCCCATAACAAACACTATTTCTGGAGTGTACCTACCATCAGTACAACCATGTTCTTCTTCCCCACTGTAATCTGGGTGATCCATTTGGGCTCCCAAAGGAAGGAGGAGTGTCTAACGCGTACATGTATGATTTTGCTAGCAGTAACTCCAGGAACAAGAACATAGTGGCTAAAAGAGTCTAGTTGAAAATCCCTAGGGATTTTATTTATTTTTATTATTTTTTAAGATTTTTAAAAATTTACTTATTTGAGAGAAACACAGCGAGAGAGGGAACACAAGCAGGTGAAGGGGGGGAGGGAGAAGCAGGCTCCCCGCTGAGCAGGGAGCCCGCGATGCGGGGCTCGATCCCAGGACCGCGGGATCATGACCTGAGCTGAAGGCAGACGCTTAACGACTGAGCCACCCAGGTGCCCTGAAAATCCCTAGAGATTTTAGATTTGTGACCTTGACTTTAGACTTTAGACTCTAGAGTGAATTAAATAATGATGATGATGATAGCAGACATGCTTATTTATAAATTTGATGATTCATGTATCCCATCAACTCCACCCCCTCCAATTATTAACCAAAATCTGAGTTTCATTTCCAAATTTTCAGGGAAGAAACTGGCCAGGTTGGACCAGACACTGCTCTCTGATCTGATTAGCTATTGTCAGGGGGTCGGACCACAGAGCAAAGTGGGGCCTGAGCACCACCAACATGCACAGGTCTGCTACAATATGAGAGAAATGTGGGGAAAAGCAGAATTATCCAAAAGACAAATTTCAGAAGAATGTTCAAACCATTGATGTGTTGTACTTCAAATGGACTGATTCTGAGCTGGACATCCAGAGGTTGATGGGACATTGGGATAGATCTGAAAGCAAAGGCTAGTCTGTGATAAAGATCAGAAAGAGGGACTAGATTATCCCCATAATGATACCTCTACAAGATAATGGCATCTGTAATCCTTCTTGATGAATGAATATTAGATTGCTAGTGAGAATGTTTGATTTTGTTTTCTTTGGGCATTAATATCATAAGAATATTTTTATATTTGGGGTTCCTGTTTGTTTTTGTTGTTGTTGTTGTTGTTGTTGTTATTTTAAAGTAGGCTCCATGCCCAGCGTTGAGCTTGAACTCACTACCCAGAGACCAAGGGTTGCATGGTCGGGGTGCCTGGGTGGCTCAGTCGGTTGAGCGTCTTGGTCCAGGTCATGATCGTAGGGTCCTGGGATCGAGCCCCAAATTGGGCTCCCTGATCAGCAGGGAGCCTGCTTTTCCCTCTCCCGCTCCCTCTGCTGCTCCCTCTGCTTGTGCTCTCTCTCAAGTAAATAAATAAAAATCTTAAAAAAAAAAAAAAAGGAGTTGTATGCTCTACCAACTGAG